GGAGGCAACCATAAGGCGTCAGATAATGAAACCGAAAGACCCACTGCCACGGAAAGAAACATCTGGAGTCGTCCACAGGATCTGGCGCAGTTGCAGGCACAGCAACTATGTTGGAGAAACTGGTCAACAGGATCTGGTGCAGTTGCGGGCAAAGCAACTATTTCGGAGAAACTGGCAGGTATTCTCAAGACGCGAATTGCCGAACACGCGGCAGCAGTGCGGCGAAATGATGCCAACTTTCAAGTTGTGGCCTATTCGACGAGACCCGTCCACACATTCAAGTTTGATGAGGCCGAAATTCACGCAAGAGGTGATAATCGCGTGAGCCGAGAATTACTTGAGTCATGGTTCACGGGCCCCCAATCCACAAACAGGTGCAACGATTTGTCCAATCCATATTTGGTGCTGAGACTCAATTTGGCCAAAGCAAGTCGCCACTTGGGGAACGGACAGGCCATCACGTCATCCTACGCAAATACCAGAGAGTCACATGGTCGGGCAATCATCACGCCGCAGTCCACCATGCGTGATGAAAGTTCAACAGGTCAGAGCCCACAGGCCTACCAACAAACTATCCACGCACAAGAAGGCAATTAGCGCTAATTGTCGCTGCATGTTCGCAGTCCTATAAATACTGCAAACCCCTGTGCACCTATTAACCGTTTCTGCTACTGTTTTCTGCTAATGTCTCTGATGATGAATCTGCGATGGATGTCGAAAGGTCAGGCGAATAAAAGTACTGTCCCAGCAATCGAGTCGTCTTCTTCTCAGTTCCATCTTTATTGACATCTAAAACTGCATATCTTAAACTTCCACCGAGATGTGTGCTACTAAGGTCTTTTTACTTGACAAAAAAGTATTCCAGAGTAACCTATTTTTATCTTCTTTTTTCCTCACCTCTGTCAGATAACGCGAAAACACATCCTCATCGAAGACGGCGCAAAAATTCAGTTAAACACCTACGCGCTTGCTGTAAGCCTGTCAATTCTGCTCTTAGGAACGTAGAAAGGCCTAGTGCCAGCTTGTAAGTAAGACGTACAATCGTGCACGACAGGATGACATATGTAGGTAACCTTTTAAAAGCATGCATTTTAAGCCGTTTTCTACTGGTAGCAAATCCTCTCTGGATTAATTCTCACGCAAGAACACTCCTAGGTTTTTTGTTCTGACATTATCCAACCCCTACAGCGCAAACGTTGGGCTTCTCAGGATGTCTGCAGGCAAGTAATTTTTCGTTGCGCCATTCATTCAATATTGAGTACATGTATAGGGGATATCAGTAAACCGCTTGCTATGTTCAAATTTAAAAGTGTTCAAGTGTAAACATTACGCAGTAGGCTTGATAAATTTTAAGCCTTCAATTACAATGTTTATGTTATTTTTATGACGAACCGGAATAGTCACCTTCTGAGGACTTTAGTCAAAGCTCATGCACTATTTGTTTTTGACAAGATTATAGGCTTACTCCGTGGAATCCCAGAAATTTTTTAAATAATAGGTACGAGTACCTCGTGGGGCCGAATTATAACAAGACCAAAGCGTCAACCTCATGAACGAGGTGGCTGTTTAAACCGACTAGACGTGGGCCTGTTTGACGGACACGCACCTCATCAAAGGTCGGTTGACTGTAGGTATAGCCTCCACCGATGTAGTAGAAGGGGATGTTGAGCTCGCGCTTAGGACGACTCAGTTCTGTGCTGGAGTTCCCGCTCACCAGGTCGCCATTCGTGGCCTCCTCCATCGCGGACACCGAGGACGCTAGGCTCCAATTGGCCGAGGTTTCGTTTTCTACAACCTCTGACGAAACAGGCCCGGTGTTCAAGAAGTAGTGAAGAAGTCCTCCAAGGTCATGGCCGACTGGAAGGGACGGGTATATGAATACAGTATATATTACATAGAATATGGAATATATATGTCATATATTGTATATAATATATGAATAAAGTAGCACTTTTATAGTACAGTCTAGAATTCGTGTAGCATACCGACATATGCGAAAGATTGATACGCTTTCGCTAATCGGCATTGAGTCAGGTTGTGATACTGATTATCATGTAGTCTATTCTGAAGTCATTTCAGTCATGATAGGATGCCGGCTTTTTAACGACCCTTGTTCTGGCCGCTAACAATACTTATCTATTGTCAAAAATGGCTACTTAAGTAGCATGCATTCGTATCATTGATTTTCGCTAACTCTATAAATCCAAATATACTTTATGGAAAGCATACACGAAAAAGTATTTCTTGTACTCGTTTGGCACCAAATTATGCTTTCTTTCAATTTTCTACTTAAAGTTAGCGTACCTTTCGGTTTTAAGAAAAGTTTCTAATTATGAGCTTTTTACGATTGTGAGTTATTACTTCTGTATAAATTACATCCGTTAATTTATTAATTCTGCCTATAACGTATACAGCATGTTCCACATTTGTTGCAAGATCTTATGAGAACTATGTGACTTCTTCTTCAAACCGTAGGCGAAAACATACTTTTCCCTTAATAGGATGTACACAGCGCGCAGTCTGTAAACCTTTGAACTCAAGTGTAGCAGTCAGTAGGTTTTAAAATTATTCGGCAATTTAAAAACTTTTTTAAGACCGAAAGACGCCCTTAATTTAAGTATGAAATTTAAAGAAGGCATAATTTGCTACCAAACGAGCGCAAGAAATATTTTTTCGTTTATGTTTTCCATGAAATATAGTTTAATTTATAAAGGCAGCCAAAATCAATGATAAGAATGCATACTATTTAAATAGCTACTTTTTACAGTACAAACGTTTTTTTAGCGGTCAGAAAGAAGCTTTTTAGAAAGCCGGCTTCCTATCGTGACTGAAGTGACTTCAGAATAGACTACACGACAGTCAGTATTACAACCTGGCTCAATGCCGATTAGCGAGAGAGTAGCACTTCTGCGCATATGTCGGCACGTTACACGAACTGTAGGCCGTACTGTACAAGTAAATAGTCGTACAGATAAAATCCTATAGCATCAAAAGCTCAAAGAACATCTCTTGGTAAACGCTTGCATACAATTGCTATGCGGTACATCGGGAGTGCATTTCAGTCTACATTATCCCGTACTGTCGGTATCATAGGCGGTCAGTAAGCAGAACTTGATTAGCATTCAAAATGCAACTTGTCCAGAAGTTTAGGAAGCTCATAGGAGTAGAGGACAGGAAAAACAGGTCGCAAGGGCAGCGCAGATCTGTTGTGGCACGCTAGCGCCACTTCCTTCGCGTCCCGCCAGACATGAGGTCTCGTGATTGCAAGCATAAACCTACTTTTTGAACTGCTGCAAATTCTGCAATAACGCGGTGGCCAATAACACGCCCGCGTAGCCTGCGTAGGCTGACCTCAATCCGTCTGGTCATTCGTCTTCAAGGCCGACTCAGACGAAGACTAGCTGCGATGACTGCCTACGCCCTGACACTCCGAACCCGGCCTCCTAGCAGTTGGACTGTACTCGTCCAAGGGTCCAATTCCTCCTTTTTCCACTCCTTCTGTACAGAATAAGCTGTTCTTACCACTCTAGCCTCCCTCCTCTTCTTCCCCTCCTAAGGAGTTTGGCCTGAAGATCGCAGCTAGTAGAGTTAACCTTAGTAACCTTAACTACGCCATAGATCTTCAGACTTTATAATAAATGTCCATTGGTGAGAAAATAATCTGCATGACAAAGCACCATTGCAAAGGATGATGGTTGCCATGCATTCTAATGAACGGTGAATGTGAGACAGGGGCTTACTCGTGAATTAGGTTAGACTGATTATAGACTTGCGCAACATCTGTCCTCCTCTTTCTTCTCTGTCGCAGGAGACACTCAGAATGACCAGAGACGGGGTTGGGCGTAGCGAGTGAAAACGCCGAGCAGCCCGGAATGGCATTACCGACAAAAACAAGGAGGCTGGACTGGCCATTTCTGGCTTATCGGGCATCATCAGCCAAACATTCTCAACCCCAGGGAGGGTGACCCTCGAGGTTCGAACCCACGACCTTATTAGTTAGAAGTCCAACGTCCTGACCACTGCACCACGGGCTCGCCGTCTTGCCGGTTAAGATCGGGAGTATTAACGATAATCGGTCGGTTACGGAACTCACTCGTCCCGTTGTGTCTTGGTGCTCGCTCTCGATCTCTGCTAGCAGCCGTTCATTGACTGGCATGTTTTAGGGGCAAAGTCGCTACCGATAAGTAGAAGGGAGATTAGCATAACCAATTCTGGTTTATTAGGCATCATCAGCCAGCCAGTCATACCCGACCCTAGCTGGTGCACCACCCGATGCTCGA